AGTTTTGAGATCTCTGCTTCATTACTGTGACTGAAATTTGGATTGAAGAGGTGCAAGTACGTGGGAGAGAGCAGCACATGATAAATCCTACTGTCTTGTTTGAAGAATTTAAAGATTCAAAGACAACGATCATGGTTCTTTAGGAACACAAAGGGGGAAACAAAACAAACCAACACAATTAAATAAAAATTATTAAAAGGCTGGCAAGAGACAACAGTAGATTAGGAAATCAYTGAAGCTTATGTTTCCCTTCTCCCAGGTAACAAGACAAGAGGAAATGGCCTCAAGCTGCACAYGTGGAGGAGGCTTGTATTAGATATTAGGAAAGATTTCTTCACTAAAAGAATGGTCAGGTATGGAACCCGAGCGSCCAGGGAAGCACTGGTGAAAGTGTTCAAAAAAACGCGTGAATATGGCCCTTGGGGACATGGTTTAGTGGTGAACATAGCAGTGCTGAGTTAACAGTCAGATTCTGCTCAGAGGTCATTCCAAACTTAACAATTTCATGATCAGAAACTGAAGTTGTGCCTAGACTATTTAAACTCACCTGTCACTAAAATGCCATCGCTAAGAGGTGGACAAAGCAACCACTTTGACATGCACACCTATTTACGTCTTTAGGCACTATCTGCTGGACCACCAGGTATGCAAAGCTACAGCACAAGCCACCCCTTCCATCCCCTACCAACCATCACTGCAGGGTATAACAGCTACCTACCAAAAAAGCTGCACACTTTCTATTTTCTGAGTATCCTTGTTCCTGTAAAAACTAAGAGCCGGCAACACATTCAAAGTAAATCTGACCTGTTCACCAAAGAAACTTAACACAAATGTTATTTTCATACTATAAAATTTAAAAATGTGACAGTATCTGAACAGCCACTCGGAGAAATTAAATGATTTTGCCTTTCATGTACAATAGCATGGACAGTTACAAAAGATRAGGACTCTTGAGACAAACCAGGATACTATGCTGGAGCACATCTACATACAAAAAGAGAAAACCAACCCCCAGATTCCAGGCTATTTTTCATCTTCAAGGTATGCCAACTCTCCTTTTTTGTAATCTAGTATGTACGTACATAAACAAATTTCATAGAATAACAAAAGTATAGGAGAACTTGGGAAAAAAAATGAAAATTTATGGAAGCGATTGTTCCTCAATTAAAGACAGCACTGGCTGGAAATGTCTACAAACCTTTTCTGTATAAAATATATAGTTCCCATATATTTGAATGCATACATTTACTATCAACATTTYATTCCTCCAGTCACACACTAATTAATTCTTATTCATTAACCAATCTGTATTTCAGAAACTTCTTCAGACAACTTCTGGAGCTTCCTTACACTTGTGTACCAGCACAGGCTGGGGTCTGAGCTGCTGGAAAGTGGCYCTGCAGAGAAGGACTTGGAGGTCCTGGTGGACTTGAACCAGCAGTGCCCATGTCCAAGAAGGCTARKGGYATCCTGGGGTGCACYGGGAAGAAATTGCCARCAGGTTGAGAGAGGTGRTCCTGACCCACTACTCAGCCCTAGTAAGACCTGGGATGCTGTGTTCAGCTCTGGGCTCCTCACTTATAGGAAAGACATGGAGAGAATCCAGCAGAGGGCTATGAAGATGAYTAAGGGACTGGAGCTTCTCCCTTCTGTGGAARGGCTGAGGGAGCTGGGCCTGTTCAGCCTGAGAAGAGGTGACTGAGAGGGGCCTCCATCAGTGTCAGTCAGTACCTCAAGGGAGGRTGCCAAGAGGATGGACCARGCTCTTGTTGAYGGTGCCCAGCAACAGGAYAAGAGGCAACAGGAGAACCTGATGCACAGAAGTTCCACCTCAATATGAAGAACTTTACTGTGCAGTGACCGAGCAATGGAACAGGTTGCCCAGAGAGGTTGTGGAGTCTCCCTCCAGAACCATCTGGATGCAATCCTGTGCCATGTGCTCTGGAATGACAATGCTTGAGCAGGGAGGTTGAACCAGATGACCCACTGCGGTTCCTTCCAGCYTGACCATTTCTGTGATCGTGTCCTATACAATAAAACTATTTCAGGAACAACATAATTTCATCACTTATTATACTGCTGATCCCCCTAAAAATTAGGGCCAAGCTAATTTGAAGTAAGTACATCCGACTTTTCTAAAACTGCTGCTTATCTAAGAAGACACAACAATAAATACTATCAGTTTCATATTAAACAGTGAAAGAGTATTCAGTACAGAGCAATGGCATACAGTTAGAAAGATGCTGACACGAACTACATTTAACAAGGCTCTAACACAAATGAATTGGTCAGCCAGAAATGAGATTTGGAGCAATTTATCATGAGGAAGCAATTCTTGCAATCCCATTGCTGCCATTTACTGATACGCTTGCCCTTTTCAGAAGTATGATTTCATTCATTAATTGTCAAGGTGCAGTATCACATGAACTGTCAAAGTGTGGTAATACACTAAAGCACCACAGTCATTATCGAAGAATCAGAGTGCCCAGCAAGTATCCAAACTGCAAACTATTCYTAAATTGCCACATGATTTCATAATTTAAATGAAAAACATTCTGCTCTGGAGGAGCTTTACCTCCCAAAGTGAAAATTTCTACTCTGTGGCTGCTCTGAACCTCCTCACCTCTTTAGGATCTTAAAGTTTTAAGAAAGCACAAGTTCTTAATTTYCTGCATCAAGTATTAGATACTGTGAAAAGCATTCTCCTGCATCCCACTCAAACAAGCCTCCTTTAACAGACAGCTTCTGAAATAACTTATGTATAAGAATAAGACAGCAGCTCTGAGGAGCAGTCAGATTTTTAACGGATAACATTTCAGTATTTTCCTGTGTATTGAATTCCTCTGAAAAGTGTACTTGCATAAGCAAAATCATTACWGTTTGATGATAATTACAGAAAAATATGCCTATACCTCATGTTGCTGAAGGCTACTCTAAAAGCCTCTAGAAATAAATTACTTTATGTGGACATAAAMCAGTAAATTTTAAAGAAAAATGACAGGTCAAAAAAAGAGTGAAGACTTCCACAGAATACAGGCACATGTCTTTTGGAATGTCTCAGGCAATGTTTCTACTGTATGTAGCATTAATACTCAAATAAAAATACTTGTGCCATTGGGGTATACACCTCACAATCTAAAATATTCTGAATTACACCAACAGAAGTTAAGTTATATTTACATCAGGCAAATTTGGATGCCTAGCATGCAGAAGGCATTTCCAACAGAAAACCTGTTCCAGCAAATAATTATCAGCGGGGCAAATAAAATCTCTCTTTGMAAGTTTTCTCATTTGTAGAGAAAAAATACCCATAAAAAAAAAAAATGACGGCATCAGCAAAAGCAGAGGAGAAATGGAGTCTTCTTTGYAAGAAAACAAAGTTAAACCTTTCCTTTCCTCTTCCTCCCATCCCCAGAAAAGAAACAAAGAAAAAAGATGAAAGAAAATCCATTTCACATCTGGAAAATCTACCAACAGGTATCTGTATACATAACATAGCCTCTAAAAGATATTTATCAACATTTGAGAAAAAGAAACACAAACAAAACCCCAGCTCAATCCTTCTTGCTTCCATTAACAAGTGAAATGAGCGAGAAACTACACACCCAGTTGATACCAAACATACCACAAGATACCCAACGTTTCAGGAAGAAAATGAACGGCTTCCCAGCTGATTGCTTGGAACACCTTGCTTTCATCAAGTCTCTCCACTATCGGTTTTTATATCTCCATGGCCTACTAACAAAACGGATCTATTCTATTCTATTCTATTCTATTCTATTCTATTCTATTCTATTCTATTCTATTCTATTCTATTCTATTTTTTTAGGAAAAAAAAAATTTTCTATTCTGTAACTCAGCTTCCCCTCCTTGCAGTGCCACAGTAAAAACAATATGGCCTTTGGGATCACTATGCTAGCATAAGGAATTCCAAAAAAMCAGTAAATTCGTGAACTTTTTTGCAGGAGAACTACTCATACTTCTCCTGCTCGATGGCTACAGCAGCACTTGTTGATCCTCAGTTTGCAAYAGAAAAGCTTCAGAGCAGCAAATACACCGCACTGGATGCTCAGCTGTGCAGGCTGCAACGGCTTTAGGCCTTRGAGAGTCTACCACAACTACAAAAACACAAACATACAGAAAAGTCTAACTAAGCTTGGGATAAAAGTTTTTGTTTTATCTTTCGCCTACTGTGCTTTTTTTTTTTTCCAACAAGGCGTGGAAGTTTCTTCCTCCAGCCCATTGCTCGTTTATAAACGCGTCCAGCCGCCGAGACGCGACAGTGGCATCTCCCAGACCTCCAGCCCCTCGTCYCCCGGGGGTCTGGGGCGGGCACCATCACCTTTTCCCCCACCTTAAGGGGCCGCAGCGGGGAGGCCGGGCCRGAGCGGGGCCACCACTCGCCCCCACGATCCCAAGCCCCACCCGCGGAGCACAGACGGTGTTCGGAACTCTTCCCAGAACCAGCGGCCCCGCGGCCGGGCAGGGGCGGCGGACACGTGTGTGTCCCCCCGGGCTTACCAGCTCTTCCTTGCCGCCTGAGCTCGGGTCGGGGTAGGTTCAGCGACCCGGAACATGAACCCGGCGCCTTCCCCGGCCGCTCCCCGAGGAGGCTGGCGCCRCTTCGCAGAGACTGGGCGAGGAGAGGCGGCCGGGGGCCGGGGACGGGAGGGCTTAGGCCGGCTGGGGAGGGCGCGGGTGGCCAGCGCCGCTCCTCAGTCCCCCATGATGAGAGCCCGGAAGCAGCRGCGGCGCCGGAGGAAGCCGGACGCGACCACCTCGCCTCTTCCCCCTTCTCTCCTGACCGGTGCCCAGGGACGCCGCGTCCCCTCCAGCACCCCCGCCTCGGGTTCTGTTCAGCTTCGCGGAGCTCCCGCTGCCCTCGGAGCGCTGTCCGTGCCTGGCTGCGGGGTCACCAGGAGCAGCGACACCCCCGCGTCCGAGAGCAGTGGGACTGTCCCGTTGCTATGGTGACAGCGTCGTGAGGGCGGGCGGAGGGAGGGAGCATGGCCGCCCTGGCCCGGCTTCAGGAGAGGCTATCGGCACTCCGGGAGGAGTATTTCCTTACGAACAGGTACCTGGGCCGTGCCGCTGGTGGGGCGGATACACCGCCTTATGCTGGGCTGGGATGGATTGTCCAGGGAGAGTGTGGAGTCTCCTTCACTGGAGACACTCAAGAACCCTCTGGACACAATCCTGTGCTCTGGGATGACCCCGCTTGAGCAAGGAGGTTGGACCAGACAACCCATTGCGGTCCCTTCCAACCTGTGCACTCTGTGATTACGTGATTCTGTCAATCTGTTTCACTTTAAAATCCCTCCCGAGAGCACCAACCCACCGCCTTGTTCCCAGATATTGCCAGAGCGATCTGAGGAGGGCTGGTGGCCGCAGCACAGCCTCTTTAGGGGGCCAGTTTATACACCGAAAATACTGAGTGTCCTGCTCTTCCCCCGCCCCCTGCTAACTGTGAGGGAAAAGGAGCCTCTGGAAWCTCCTGAAACGCTCTGAGCGCGCAAGTTCAGCCCTCTCCCGCTCTGGGAGCCGACCCCCTTTCCCCAGTCCCGCCTCTGGAACCTTCTTCCTTCTCTAGCGGCGCTGTTATTCCTTGAGATTCCCTCATGGGCGCTCCAAGATGCAGCACCCCAGTCCTGATCCCTGCGCTCATGGCTCAGATTTGTGACTGCCTGGACATTTGTC